TGAAGCGCGGGCCCAACCAGACGAACGTCCGCGGACGGTATCTGGTTTAAGCACATGACGTAGGAGGTCATGCTGTTCTTAACGCGACGGACTTCTCTACCAAGGCATTGTTCCTGAGGAGTGCGTTCGTATCCCCACATCTAGCTGCATAGGCGAACGTCACGGATGGCTGTGTCTATAACCACGTGACGAACGTCTCCACCAACTTCGGTCCGGGATTACGCATGCAGGGTCAGCTCCCAAGCATACGAACGTATCTCGAGAGATTGGGGTACAGGTGTGGATGATGGGCACGAACGTCCTCACAACTTGGGCTATATTCCATAATGGCAAAATACTACTGACAGTAAAAGAAAGCGGAAAGAGTTATGAACGTAGAGACAATGATGAGGCAAAAAGAGTTGTATATTCTTCGGCTCTACTGGCCGGATAAGTACAGGATCAAAACAAAGAAACTACAAGCTACATTACACAAAATTGGGAGAAACAGGCCGGGACCCCCCCAGGGATGGTTTCTTCTTCCTCCTCGGGCTCGGGGGACGGGGGCTCCGGGACCTCCCCTCTGGCTCTGGCCTCCTCCCGCCGGGCGTCCCTTTTCAACTTGCCCACCACTCGGATCAGCTCCGGATCTGAGGCATGCTCGGCCAGATCGAAATTGGGCCCCTGAAGAGCGGCGAAGACCGGCAACGTGGCCTTTACCCCCTCGTTGTAGCCGATGACGAAGGAGCTATCCCCAACATCATATAAAAACTTCTCGGCCAGGGGCGCACTCTCCAGGATTCGGACCCCGAACTTGAGGCGGTCCTTTGGCGCCTGCTTCTGCAGCTCGGCGGCGAATACATCACCAAAGGCGCCCCCAAGGTACTTCTGGGCTGCAATCATGAAGGCCCCGGAGTTGAGGTACCCAGAATCGTCGACGAGCCATTCAGGGGCCTCGTCCTTGGGGGCAGGGAGAGCTGGGACGAGCTTGAACCCGGCCTTCTCCAGAACCGCAAGCTTCGCGGTGGACTCGCGGGCTACCCTCAGGGCGGCCTGCAGCTCCTTGTCCTTGGCCGCCAGCTCTTTCTCCTGGAGACGAGCGGCCTCTCTCGCCTTCTTCAAGGCCGCATCTGCCTTATTTTTGGCCTGAAGGGCATCGGCATCCCGGGCAGCCTCAGCCTGCAGGGTAGAGAGCCCGACCTACAAAAGAGATACAGAGGGTGAGACTTCAAATCAGCGGAATATGGAAATCTACCGTTCGTTAAGGGGCAAATCTCACCTGAAGAGCGGCGGCCAGAACCGCGTTGGAGGCCTCTGAAGACGTCCGGGGAGGCATTTCCACGCCAACCAGAGAAGCAATTTCCTGCCAGACGTCATGGGCCGGACGCCCAAGGGAAGGGAGGATCAGCCCTTGCTCTTCGGGGGCCGAAGAGGAAGCCCCCCGAGGCCTCTTGGACTTCTTGTCCCGCGCCTTCTCCCCCTCATGCGGATGAACGGCCTGCAGGGGCGCCACGACCTCGGGGACGACAGGATTGAGGACGGGGGCCTGGGACCCCTGTGCCATCACCGTGGCAATAAGGTGCTGTTCCGCCTCCACCGTGCGACGATCGGCCTGGGAGGCGGAAGAATTAGAATCTGTTGCTTGGGCGGCCTTGGCCTTGGCAAGGGCAACATCGGCCGCGGCACCCTTCCCCTTCCGATTCTTGAGGAGCTTCTCGTGATTCATCTGCTCCTGGGTTGGGGGAAGACCTGAAAGAAACAAGGGAAATGGGTTAGATGGACGAGCGACGGGAAGAACTCACCTCGGAGGAGAGGACCGCCCAATACCCCGAGACGAGCGTAGAGGGGGAGATGTCCAAGAGCATGGGCGGTACCTATTCCTGCCGCGGCAAGCGCCTCGAAGGTTAAGAAATCATCTAAGGGCCGGATGCCGCCCGTCGAGATCTTTCTAACGTCCTCCTCCAGGTCGTTGGTCAGCTCCGGAGATCCTATCTTGGGCGGGTAGCCGTTCCAACGCAATGGTAGACGAGCATCCGCGTACCGAACGAAGAAGAACCGATTCTTCCAGTCATGGATGGAACTCGGTGCTCCGCTGAACAGCCTCCGTTTCGGACGAGCTGCAATGCTCAGGAAACCGTCAGAATTTTGGGGGGTGAGCCGATAGAAGTAATGGAACAAGTCCAAAGTGGCGGTGACCCCATTGTCCTTGCAGCGAACCAGGAAGGCGGAGACGAATCGATAGGAATTCGGCATGAGTTGTGCGGGGGCTATCTGGTAACAACAGAAGAATTCCATGAAGAACGGATGAAGAGGGAAGCGCAGCCCAGCCTCGATGGAGTCCAGAAGCACCATAACCATCCCTGGACGTCTCCTCATCACATGGGTGGCACCACGCAGGCTGTATACGGACGGAGAGGGGAAGAACACCTTCAGTTTATTGAGGGCCACCTGCGAGAAGACCTGCTCATGGCACAGGACATTCTTGATCGGGCACAGATGCCTCTCCACATCTATCTTCAACCCAAGTTCGAATACTTCAATGTCGGAGCCGTCCTGAGCCTCCACCCCAGAGTCATACCCGTCTGGACGCCCGTCCTCACCGGCGGACTCCTGTTCCCCGGTATCAGCCACGGGGTCCACTACATCAAGGGCCATATTCCGTTGTTCTCCCAGATCAGCACCTTCTTCACCAGAAACCATCACAGTAACCATATCTCGGGCCTCCCCGGCCTGAACAGTTCCCACGGTAGAGGCTGAGCCAGAACTCCCGGAAGTGCTAGTTTCACCCGAAGAGCGTGAACCGGAGTCGGAGGAGGAGCCCGAGGAGGAACCCGATGAACCCGAGCCAGAACTCGACGAGATCTCCATTGAAACCATCTCGGCGAGGGTTCAAGACAAAGAAAAGAAGCAGAGGATGGAATTTACCTTAGAAAGGGGATTAGCCGAGCTTGAAAGCGGGAGAAGACTTGAAGAGCTGCGGGAACGCGAGAGCAGGAGAGCAGAAATTGGGAACCCTAATTTAGAGGGAGAACCCGGCATTTATAGGAGAGACACCAATGGGGGGACCAACGAGAGACGGACACGTGGCAGGGAGCGTATTCCGTCTCACGCGCTGTGCGTGGGACGAAAGCGTAATGATGGCCTTTCCTCGGAAAATGCACCGCCGCTACAGCAGCCGTCACCTCGTTTCCTGAACCGTCGACAGCTGTTAAGCACCATGACCACGAGCGTACGCTTCCGCCAGATACAATAAGACACAAGTATCAAGATACGAACGTCCATTTCGGGGCACCTATACTTCCTTATGTCCTGCGCATGCTCAGAACATCAGAAGTGGGGGACTTGTGTTGGGATAATGGCCCAGGCCGAGGTCCGGCCCATTAACCCCCTTTTTTCCTATCGGACGCACGTCATGCTAGGACCAGGCTGGGCGCAGGCCCATGACCCTTGGGAAAAGACGAACGTCTGGAATTGGGGGGTCCAGGTTCAAACGGCCCATCACGACGAACGTATGTGCAGAGGTAAGCGGCAGGACCACTGGCCATCAGGGACAACGACGCACGTCTCCTAGGCAGGCCCATGATCGCCGGAGGAGATCCAGTCCACATGGAGAGAATCCACCAAGGGCAGGGGACGAACAGCCGAAGTCTCTTGAGGGTCACTTGGAGTGACCCAGCTCACCCCCTGGCGGACGAACGTCCCCATTATTTAGGCGGGAAGCCTAGATTCTGGCGGGAAGTGCATTTAATGCAGAAGATTTGGTGGTTGGGACACAAGCGGTCCGCAGGCCTCCACGTCAGCATAACCACCTGCCCATTGGCGGGTATAAATAGAAGCATTTATTTCATTGTAAAGGGTTGACAACTTTCTATTATTAGCACTCTAGCTATAGCATTCTTACTCGCAGCACTTCTACTGCCTTGTGAGACGAACGGCCGACGGAGCCTTAGCGAAAAGTATTGTATTAGGGAGTTATTAAGAGATAATAATACCTAATCATTTACTTGCTACCTTACTGCCTTCCTAATCCATATCATCTGCTTGTTGGGCTAGTTTAATCACACAATCCATTCGAAATCCTTGGGCTTACGTGTTGGACCCGGGGGTTGAAGGAATAAACCTCAACACAATTTTTACCATTAAAAAACACCAGCGAACTTTAAAAAGCCCCCTTTGAAGTATTTATTTTGTTGTTCAAACGAGTTTCATATAGTGCTGGACTCGGGCCGGTTCGGGCCCGGTTCGGGCCTGGGCCCGGCCGGACCTCGGGCCAGGAAAGGGAGGCCCGAGCCCGAACCGCCGGTGGCCGGTTCCGGTCCCGGTTCCGGGCCAAACCGGCCCAATTAATTTTTTTTTTTGTTCTCCTATTTAATCCCCTACCCCTCCCCCTCAACCCCAAACCTTCCCAAACCACCTCAAATGGCCCAAAATACCTAATCCAACTTAAAACTTAAATAAATTTCAAAAAAAAAAATAAAAATTAAAATCCGGCCCGGACCGGGCCCGAACCGGCCGGGCCGGTTCACCAAAACCTGGGCCCGGGCCCAAACCGCCCAGCAGCCGGGCCGGGCCGAACCGAACCGGTGGACCCACCGGGCCCCGGGCCGGGCCGGGCCAAACAGTAACCGGGCCGGGCCGGTTCCGGGCCGGGCCACCCGGCCCGAGTCCAGCACTAGTTTCATATAGATCACAAGTCTCTTAAAATAAAAACATGAATGATAAAATTGGAAGAATAAGGGCCCGTTGGACTGTTGGTCGGGGTTATTTGGCTGAAGCATAAGAATGCACAAAATTTACCCAAAATAGGACTAAAAAGGTTTGAAAATTCCAAAATAGGACTGACATGTTTTTATTTCCAAAATAAGACTAATTATTGTCATGTTTTGGCAGTACCAGACTTCAAACATGGCAGTATTTTCAAACTTGGCAGTAATTACTCCTATTTTGGGAATAAAAAAACATGACAGTTCTATTTTGGAATTTTCAAACTGTTTTAGTCCTATTTCGGGAACTTTTCCCTCAAAGAACTACTTGAGCCTATTCTAATTACTGTACTTATAATAGAATAAGCAACATAAGCTGAATACAGCTACCAAAGCGAGGCCTAAAACTAGTCAGTATCTCGAACACAACAACTAATATTGTAAAATATGGTCGCCTGGCAGGCCCCTTCATAAATCATAAAGAGATGAACATCTAAACTAAAGCGAAAATAATAAGCAAATACACAGAATTTTATTATACTACGTAATTGTTTAACTTGACACTGGTTTTGATACATAAGGTTAGTGTTCCTTGTTTGTTTGATATTCCACACCAGGACATGGTTTTGGCATCTGACTGATATTTCTGAGAGTAGGCTTGGCTCCAAGTCATTCACTTGACTTGAAATACCGTTGTGATTTGTTAATGGGAGTCTTGATTGTCCAAAAATTAATATTCTGGGAGGAACCATGATGCCCACCGCTTCATCATCAAAATTCATTGACATAAAATTTGATATTCTGCTGCTCTCTACAGGACCGAAAGCAGAAATTTCTACCGCATTACTCGGAATGTCATCCTCAATTCTTCACATGTGCTCAACAATTTCTTCATAGGAAAATGAGTTAGAGCTTATGTAGTAAATTCACTTTCACATGCCTGGTTTCCTTCAATTAAAACATGTGTGCACAAGATAGAGGTGATGAAGCTTCATCCTCTTGCTTATGTAGGAAGCAATGCTTTGTAAATTCAAGCCAATATCGCTTAAGTTACAAGTCCCCTTATTATTGAATGACAAATGACCACCACTGCTCTCTCTTCAGATTTCAGGGTGAGACGGATAAATAAAAGATGTTATTTGCCACAAACCATTTGAATCCTGAGATCGTTGACCGTCAACGAAGTTTCATCTGAGAACTCCCCAGAAGTTTGATCTCTTTGCATTTGGCCTGAGAGGTAACTAGAGGATGAAATATTGAAATGCTCTTTGCAGTTGATTGGAAAGCTAACTACAAGATGAAACGTTGAAATCAAATATGGATCCTGGTTGTGATATTCTCTACTGATAGATGATCATTATACATCTGAGCATAAATTCAAACTCTTCCAGATTTGACTACTACTTTGATGTTCTGAATTACTTCCAAATTGAAATTTTAAGGAAAATCTGTTCCACCATAATCTATTCCACAAACTAGCATTGTTTGTTTTACTCAACTATTCTACACAATAACACAGGTATGATGTATATATATGTCAACAAAAAACTACAACGTAAATTGCTACACAGATTGCACTCAAGTGTTCTTTGCTTTCATGACCTGTGAGATTACTGATGGAAGAAGGGGAATAATTGAAGAACAGATCATCATCATTCTCCTATATGATAAATTAGGCCTTATAATAAACAAGAATGTATGTGCCAAGATCAAAATGACCCATTCCAAATTATCAAAAGTTTTTGGATAATTTTAACTCGAAACATAAGGCTTCCTTTTCTTCAAAAATATCAAAATTATTCACTTTTTTTGAGTGCAAACAACTTCAAAAGTCTTCCAGTTTGATCACTTTCCAGCATCTCTCTGCCAGTTTATTGATACAAACTAAAGATATAGACTATTTAGAGAGAGATTATACTTTAAAAAAAATGCAATCTCATATGCTTAAAAAATAAAAACATTGCAATGTATAGGCACATTTAAGGGCTATAGACCTAGTGCCCATTTGGTAAGCCATATTTCCGGAGCATCACTACTTCACTAGATCTTTTACAAAACACAACATTTCTTACCACCAATGGGAAGTGTCATTCCACTTAAAATCTCAGTAAGGCAAGTTTAGGCGAAGCGTCTAGGCCCCTGACTCTTCTTTACAAAACTCAGTCGAATTTGCTTAAGACGTCTCCCCTTCCTGGCCATTTTCTTAGGCAAACCCTCCCTCTTCTTCTCCTTCTTCACAACTTCGGTTTTCTTTGCATATCTTGGATCTACCATAAAAGACGGCTTAGATTCCACGGGGACCCCATTTATCAAGGCTTCATTGTAAAGAGCATTGGCTCTAGCAAGGCGATTATGAGCGCACCATTTCCTCATTAACAAATCATAAGTCTTTACCCCGGGCTTACGCCCATCACCTGCGGCTTTCATCTTCTCAAAAACAGTCATAGCATGGTCAACCCTCTCAATCCCACACAATATCTTCAAAAGGCCAAAATATTCCTTCTTATCAAGCTTCTCACCAAACCCAGCAGACTTCATCCTATCCATCATCTCATCCCCTTCCTCGACTCGAGCTGCCTGATACAAGCTTCGGATTAAAATCAAATGACTCTCTGAATCAGGATTGCACCCCCATTGCCCCATCATATGAAACAGACCAAGTGCTTCCTCTGTTTTCCTAATCTTGCAAAGATTATTCATCAACACATTAAAAGTCTCCACATTCCTTGGGACCCCATGAGTTTCCATATCAAGCAACACCTTTTCAGCTTCAAACTAAAGCCGGAATGGATCTTTTTTCCTACAAAGCTTACAAACACAATCAAGCATTGCATTATAGGTCATTGTGCTAATCTCAAAGCCCCCCTATACATTTCCCCAACCAATCTTCTGGCTTCATCGATCTTTCCATCAACACACCAACCATTGATTAACAGATCACATATTGCTTCGTCAGGGAATATCTCATTGGCCGAGTCTTTCACCATTTTCTCCGCGTAGCTAGCATACCCATTTTCGCACAACTTCTGCACAACCAATCTCAGCGACTCCTGGTCTCTTTTGAACCCATACTCCTTCTCCATTCTCTCAAAAAAACCCAGAGCTTTAGTGGGCCTACCAGCACGAACCAGCCTATCAATGGAGGAGTGGAGAGTTTTAGGGCCGGCGACAGATATGTTACCACTAACCAGCAAATCATGAGCAGCTTTGAAATCTTTTCTTCGACCGAAATAATCGACGAAGTGCGAGAGCGTTTCATCCGAGTGTTTGAAATCGGGGTGGGAGATAACCCAATCGTTAAACCCTAAAACAGAACGACCGGCCTCCGGGGAGATATTCAGAGTTTGGGTGATTAACAGAGGGGTGGGTTTGATGTGAGAGAAGTGAAGCATGAGTCTTTGGGTAATCTCCAGAGGGTCTGAATTGCTGGAAAGAGATTGAGCAATCGAATCTGCGGTTTGGGTTGTGAAGGAGTTAGAATGTGTGAATGGTAATCTATGAGGGTGTGTAGATGTAAAATGGGGGTTGAGAGGAGACGGAGAAGAGATGTGGTGAAGAAGCTGCCGTCGGAGTTGCAGAGAGATTAATGGCGGCATTTTTGTTTCGAAGGAGGAAACCTAAAGTTGAGCAGAAAAGTGAATGTAACTGCGAACAGTTGGATAACTGCATACAAAGAGCAGGGGTGAACAAAAAAACATGACAAATTGATCGAAACCGAGCTATCAAAAATATTTGAAATCTGGTTGAAGGGACTAATTTTGCTAATTTAAGGAAAAAATATTTTCAAAATACATTTTATTAGTAAAATAAAGAAAAAATTATATGTAAAATAACTAAAATGGTCATCTACAGTAAATTCAGCCAATACGGCTAGTTCAACCTTACCTTTTCTGTTTACTACACAATTCAGCGCATGAAAGCAAAAGTTACGTGTTTGGTGAAAAAGTTGGCTGATAAGCCTGATAAACCGAAAAATAGTGTTAGCAAACGGCCTCTGAAACTATCTCAAAGAGCTGTTCGGTTTACGGTTTGATCTATTAGGTTTAAAATAGACCGCCAAAAACTGATTAAAATGTGGTAAAACCAATGGAAATCAACAAAAATCGACCAAAATTAATCGAACAGAAATCGATTCAAGTGGTGCGATTCAGTTTATTGTTCACCTTTTCTAAAACCAAAACCGAACCGACGGATAGTCAGTACATTAGGGAGTTCTTACAAAAACTTCAAAAATTACTTTTCTACTTTTGATTTAAAAGAGCATAAATGTGTGTTTTAAACAAAATTTATTCTTAAAATCACTTAAAAGGTGGGTGAGATACTTTAAATGGTTTGACACAATATTATATATAAAAAATATTATATACTCCGTATATAATTAGACATTGCCCATTTTTACTTTTTCAATAACATTTTTTAAACTTTACCAGCTTCTAATTTTAAACATTTTGTCTAGAACCGCTTTAAAATTCATAACTTCAATCATAATTTCATCATTTCAGCAAATGCAGTCATTTAGTATTACCAAACGGGCTCTATTCTACCATTTTCAATTCCCTGTTAAAATTTCAATTCTTGCGATGTACATAATTTCAAGTGTATATATCTTAGAAATATATATTTTGATAATTAATACGGAGTACTAGTTAAAGTATTGTAAATCATAGAAAACTATCATTAATTTATCATCATAAAATAAAATAAGATTTTCACTTTTACTAGTTTCAATTAGAAACTAGATTAAGAGACTGTTTGGTAACACTGAAATTGACTGAATCAACTTATCCTGCTTAAATTTATGAAGTTCTGGCTAAAGTGGCCGGATTGGACCATTCTGCTAATTTATGAAAAAATTATATGAACAAATAGACATAATGATCAGCCAATACAGTCAGAAAAGTAATTCCAATCTTACTTTTTCCCGCGAAATCAAAAGTTACGTGTTTGCTGAAAAAGTTGTCTGATAAGCTCGATGATGAGGCGAAAAAACATGATTACCAAACACGCTCCAAACCAGATTTAAAATGAACTAAGTGTCGTAGTATATTACTTAGTACAAGATTTCCTCAATTCCTCTTATCAATAACAATTACAAGTACTTTTGTTAAACTACATCTATTCTTTTTATTGGAATTATCAAATGTCTACTTGAATATAACTCGTTAATTACCACACAACAGATGTTTTTTTAATACGGAATTTGCCATGTACTTTTGTTTTCCCTTTCTTAATGGAGAAGAATGTCCCTGTTTCCCAGAAAGAAACACAGTGGAAACTGAAGGGACTCTCTTCCGGGACTCTATATCTTCGTGCAAATATTTGGTGCTGAGCTATGATCAAAACTCAAAAGAGATTCATCTGGTAAAAAGAAGAAACTATTGATTCATTGAAGATATTCATTTGGTGTATTGCAAATATGAGCAGAGAAGAAAAGAGAGTCCAGGGAGAAGGCTTGATTAACGCTGTGTTTTCTTGGTCCTTAGAAGACGTCATGAATAGAAATTTATATAGAGAAAAGGTTTGTGTTCCACTCAAAATCTCATTATTAGTATGCATATCATAGTGTTATTATACTGATCTTGTTGAAAAACATGCTTAAATTTCAAATATAAGTAAAAAAAATCCACAACTTAAACTTAGAAACGAAATACTTTATAATAACAAAATATAATATCCATATATAATTCTAAACATTATATATAAATAGATTTGCTTAATCTTAGTAAAAGAGCTTATATACTATCTCGATGTAATTAATCGGTATGTTTTCAAAACTTAAGCTTTATAATGAAATTAGGTGATATAGTTGAATGCACTCCTTACATGTCATGCCTATCACACTATGTTTATAATCAATCTGATAATGCTCACATGACCACTGGATTAATAAATTTTACTCTGTATTTAGTTATTTAGTAGGACTAATTCAAATAAAAAATTTCATTAAAAAAATCCAATAAATTTTAAAAGTAAAACCCCACATCGATTAAATTATGAACAAGTTAAAACATTGCCGATAATTCAAATAGGCTTAGGCTAATAACATATACAATGTGCTAAACATGTTTAATTCCTATTTAAACCAACTTTGATACGGAGTATAACACACATACATTTATACATATATATAACGTAACATATCAATGGAAAAGATGAGTAGGGGTATGTCAGTATATGAAAAGTGTTTGCCTTCAATTATATACCTTTGAAAAATGGTATTCAATGACAAATCCTCAATACTTCGTAATAAATTTGGTAATGTAGAAAAATTAAGAAACATGATTTTGAGAAAGTAGAAACTTAAAGTTCTTAGTAAAAAGATACTCCGTACTACGTACTTCTTATGATGTATCCTCCCTAAGACCCTAACTTTTTAGCTATATGGGTTTTCTTTATGGAGAAGTATTTATTCATCAAAAAAATAAAGACAAAGATGTTTTCAAAAAATACAAATAAATACAAAGATACAATTATAGAGTTTTGAATTTTTTTTAGTAGATCCGTCATTTCATATATAGTCACGAAGATATATATTTCTCCATTTTCATTAGTCGTAACACTTTAACTTCTGAACTATTTGATATCTTATTTTGATCTATTTTTTTTGTACTCTATGTAATTAACACAATAAATCAGAACCGATATTATTTTTCGTAAATTTCAATGAAGTAGTTTTTCCTAATTTAGAAAATAAATACTCCATGTTATATATTTCACCCTTATATATTTTTCTTAGTTCAGAAATTGTTTCAAATCAATTGGTACAGATTTTTCACATAGTTAAAAATATTATGTAGGTGTACCTAGACTTTGTAAAATGTACTACGTAGTTTTTATACTATTACAGTACTATACTCAATAAGTCAATATGCTTTATTGAAGCATGTTTATTTTGGATAAACGCTTTTCTAAAAAAGGTACCCGTAGTTTAGTAGTATGTTTTTACTTGGACTGAATTTTTTTGATATGATTTGATCAATTTAAGTTTGGTTAGATAGATGTATAGTTATTGTGTATTTTACACAGTTGTCAAAGTGTGGTTTGTCTGGTTTATTTTTTTTAAATCTAGTTCAAATTAGAAGTTGTTCTATTCGTCTTATTCTTTTTGAAGAATAGTAAAAATATATTAACTGAGATAACAGTTTATTACATCATCGTCAGGGGCATACCCCTGCTGCTTAACTATTTTCATCATAAACACGTTAAATCAGAAGTACAAAGATCACTAGGTGCATTAATGCATATCACACTTAAATAAATCATTCAAACTTATTTAACCAAGATATAGCATAGTGCAACATCTTCAAAAATCAATAAGAGAAACAGGATATAGCTTGAAAAGCACCTTGTACACCAAAATTTTGATCTACAAGTATACACTCTCCACACTAACCTCTTTGTGTGCAAAAATAGTCTCGTTTCTAGCCTTCCACACAGTATAAACAGTACAACAAAGAGATAATCGGACTGCCTTACTCATGATCCTTGCACCTCCATAAAGCTTGATGCACATTTTAACCGTGCTGAGTAAAGTGGTAGTATTGCTTTTGAATCTCAGCCAAATTCCAACTCTTTGCCACACATCTTTAGTGAATGGACACTTAAAGAAGAGATGTTCCACTCAATCTATCTGTAATTTGCAGAAACAACACCTTCTCTCTATATCCATGTACATCAGGTTGTCACAAGTCGACAACCTATTTCCTAACCCAAGCCATACAATAAATGAGAACATAATTTAGGAGGGATATATTTCTTCCAAATCATATTCATCCAAGGTTTGCTATGAGCTTTGGTTCTTAAGATGTCATACACCTTACCAGCGTTGATCTTTCCATTATCACAAAAAGAATAAAGTCTATTGATCATTTCAGTTTGCCCACCCATCACTTTGAACAATTCATCCCGAATCTTGATCAATCTGGTCAACAAAGGGGACACCCCAACTTTTGGTATTCAGTCTTATTCTTATCACTTATTGTGTATTCTTATTTTATTGAGATTAGATCGGATCGTAAAGATTCAGATCATATCAGATCAGAAAGATTCAGATTAGATCATAAGATTCAGATCATATAAGAGAGATTCATATCAGATCAAATCAGAAAAATTTAGATCAGATTAGATCATGAAAATTTAGATCAAATCAAATCATAAAAATTCAGATAAAAATCATTCAGAAAAGAACAACTTCTTAATCTAGTTTGATCTTGTATACAAAAAACATCTATTGGAGGTGTTTGGAACTGCTTTTGCTTCTGCTTTTTTTTAAGGTAGAAATAGAATCAGAATTTTAAGAAGCTGGTCCCCCAACTTCTAAAAAACTAATTCTAGAAGTGTAAATTAGAGCACCATAATCACTAATGGACTTTCACTCAAATAGTTTTCTGAAAGAGCAGAAACAGTTTTAAGAGTCAGACTCACTCGGTTTCCACAATAGTTGTGTGAAGTGTGAACATACAACTATGATATAGATAAAATGCGTTAATGGCTTTGCACAAAAAACATTTTGCTTGCGTATACGGAGACACGGAGTATTATATTGCGCGCGCCTGCGCGGGTCAATTCTGTTGCCGTTACATTTTCCCGTGTACAAGGAATTCATACTGATACTAGTATATTTTTTCAGGTGAAAGAAATTCCAGAAACCTTTCTGCGCACAAATGAATACATGAAGTCGTTCGTGGATCCTCTTGTGGAAGAAACGCATGCTGATCTGTACTCAAGCCTGACCAACTCACTCCGGAATGCTCCCGCTTGTGAGGTCGAAGAGCTGCTAGTGCCATTGCCAAGCAAGGATCTTGATCAGCCGAAAGACCCGAAACCTTCGATCACGATTCTGTTGAAGAGAGTTAAGGATCATGGTAAGTGGATATTGCCGTATAAACCACAGTCCGGAGACCTAATCGCTTTCTCTGATATCAGGCCGAATCGCATTGAGGATCTTAACAGACCAAAGATACCTTATTTCTTAGCTGTAGTTCAAGGACAGGAGGAAGAAGAGGATGAGGAAGAAGAAACTGATTTGTTCCCCATCCTGCCATCCAAGCCCCTTAGCTTCCTCGAAAGGTTAGCTGAGGATAGGGAAAAGGGAAATACGCTTTTTATTGTTTATCTCACTAATCTGACAACAAACATTCGGATATGGATGTCTCTAAAGGGGGAGGGGAGGACTCCGAAGGTGATGCTCCCAAACTTCCAGATTATTAGGACAGTTCTGCACAGTAGCCGTCCTCCAAATGCAAGTTATTTCTATCTAATCCTACTAAGCTAGGCTATTTCTATATTGTTGTTTTCTGGTTTGTAGCTTGTTGTTGCAAGTTGCAACACCTAAAGCTCAATCTCCTTATGTTGGATGGAGGGTATTGGAGGGGAAGGTTAAATGCACTATTTTCTAAAGAAAAGAGTTGATTCACAATTTTGTTTTATAATGAATTATGCTATTCCTCCATTTTTTTGTAGAACCTCAAATACATGTAAAGATATATACACTGACCGTCCAAAACCCGCCAATACCTAACTCCCAAACTCGCCCAATCTCTAATAAATGAGTGTTGTGAAAAACATGTTGATCAGGATGAAGGAAATTGTTCTCTTTGCTTTGGTAAGGGTATTGATGATGATGATGCTTTAACATTGAAAGCTAAGACTGCTGTGAAGTTATTCGGGTTGGACAGTTCTCAGGAAGAAGCTATATTGAGATGTGTAAAAGCCAGGCAATGCAAGCACCGAAAGTCAGTGAAGCTAATATGGGGTCCACCTGGGACTGGGAAAACCAAGACGGTTGCATCCTTATTATCTGTCCTCTACAATATGAAATGCACAACTTTGACTTGTGCCCCAACAAACATTGCTGTTTTAGGAGTTGCAAAGCGGCTAATGGAACTAGTAAGGGAAGCTGGTCTCGAATGTGATAGTTATGGTTTGGGAGACATCGTCGTGTTTGGTAATGGGGAGAGGATGAAGATCGAAGATCACGAGGACCTGTGGGATGTGTTTCTGTCTTATCGTGTTGCTGCGATTAAGAAATGGGTGTTACGTCATCGGTGGCAATCTGTTCTGATTGAGATGATCAAATTGCTGCAAAAACCTGAAGTGGCCTATACAGAGCACTTGAAACAAGGGGGTAGTAATGATGATGATGAGGAGCCCCAGTTGGAGGAAAAAGAAACTGGAGAGATGAAAAACAAGGACTTGAAGAAAACAAATACAAACAAGGGTTTGAAAAAGTTTATTGTTCAGATGGTGAAGAAAGGCAAGAAGAAAAAGGCAAGAGACGAACCTTTTTCTTGCAAGAAAAAAGCTTCAGGATTTTGTTATGACAATGTAGCCAAGACCAAGCAGGGGGTAAAGGTTTGTACCTTTGAGGAATTCTTTATGAAAAGGTATAAATCCTTGACTGAGCGATTTCAGTGTTGTGTGGAGACCTTTTGCACTCATTTGCCCACTTCATACATCCCTTTGGAAGCACTAAAGAAGTTGTCAGGGGCACTTGGTTCCCTTCAAACTCTTGGAGGATTGTTGATGTCTGCAGAGAGCCATGGAGGACTTAGTGAAGGCCTTAAGGGGAGTGGAGCTTCTTCTTCTTGTATTTTCAAGTGGAAGGATGAATATGATTCTTTGCAGAAAACAAAACCAGAATGTATTGCTCTGCTAGAATCTCTTCGTACCTGCATTACTCTACCAGATGATTTGTCTGAAGACTCTGAAACACATAAAATTCGGGAATTTATTCTGAAACATGCAACTTTGATATTCTGTACTGCCTCAAGCTCATACACATTGCACACAGAATGGATGCGACCAATAGAACTGTTGCTAGTTGATGAAGCAGCTCAGCTTAAGGAATGTGAGTCCACTATCCCCTTGCAGCTATATGGTCTGCAACAGGCTATACTAATTGGAGATGAGAAGCAACTGCCGGCTATGGTTCAGAGTAAGATTTGTGAGAAGGCTGCATTCGGCAGGAGCTTGTTTGAGAGGCTCGTTAAATTAGGACACACAAAGCATCTCCTCAATGTTCAATACCGAATGCATCCCTCTATTAGTTTATTCCCAAACAAGCAGTTTTATGAGAAAAAGGTGATGGATGGTCCTAATGTATCAAAGGAAGGATATGAGAAACGGTTTCTTCAAGGAGAGATGTTTGGACCCTTTTCTTTCATTGACATAAGAGGAGGAAGTGAAGATCGTGACAACAGCTGTAGCAGTAAAAACAAGGCTGAAGTTTTTGCAGTAGCTGAGATTGTTGCTATGCTCCACAGAGGTTTTTTACTCTTCCTTTTTAATATGAATGCCATTTTCAATTGTCGTTTCTTGTCTTAAAAACAAGGTAGTTTTCTGGTTCATTGGTGATGGTAGAATGCTTGCTTTCAAAACAAAGAGTTCGCGTAGGGTGCATATCACCGTACAAGGCGCAGGTGTTTGCCATCCAGCAAAAACTTGGGAAGAAGTACAGCACAGACATTGACAGTCAGTTCTCTGTTAACGTGAGATCGGTTGATGGCTTTCAAGGGGGAGAAGAAGATGTTATCATCATCTCCACTGTGCGGTCCAATGGGAGTGGATCAGTTGGCTTCTTGTCCAACTTTCAGCGCACCAATGTTGCTCTAACCCGAGCAAGGTATGTTGCACATTGTTAATATTCTATGTTATTCATGAGTTAGATAGTCCTACATCAAAATATAATGGGCCTTACAGTGCTTACTGTATTTGGCATTATGTTATTTATGTAGATATTGTCTATGGGTCTTGGGGAATAGCTGGACCTTGATCAATAGTGGTTCTGTTTGGAGGGACCTGGTGGTAGATTCTAAGGTCAGGGGGTGCTACTACGATTCCTGCAATGACAGCAACTTGGCAAAAGCAATTGCAGAGGCTGCTTCATCTGATGATTTATTTAACAAATTTTCAGCAATGGATATAGCCCAAAGCCACAGAACTGCAGGGTAGTCGTTTTTTTCTCTTTATTTTCAATTTAGTATCTGATTCTCTAATCAACCCTGTTAGTAATAAATAGATAAATGCACCTTTCAGATATATGAAGGTTTTCCAAAAGAATAGAGCTCGGTTTTCTAAAGAACTTTGAAGCAGCAAATAATGATTGTTTCCTTAGTATGATGAAGATGGATGAGTTGAACTCGGAAGGATGTAGTTTTGTGGGTTCTTCTACTCTGATTCGTTGCATATGATCTCATTAGTCATTACCCCGAGCTGTATGTCATTGAATTCATTGTACCAAAGAATCAGGGTGCAGCCATATTATGTGCCAAGGCATGTACTAATTAACTAATTATTAATGAATCAAATATTTTAGTTCTTTGCAGCTTTTGTATTTCTTTCTCGTTTTTAGCCCTATTATTATAGTGGCAATGGAATTGTTGGTACCAAGTCTTTCAATTTGTTCACTTATAACTGTTGTGATGAATAAATCTTTGAGTACTTTTCTTTGATTTTTTTTCATTTTTATTTATTTAATTATTGTTGTGGTAGTGTCATACCTTAGAGGAGTAAAAGTGGAAAAAACTCTTATGTTATAAGATAATGTGGAGATTGATTTTTGAGCCATACCTTATTGCCTGGAGAGAAATATGTAAAAGGATAAGAAATGAGGCCTAAACAAATTACAACCAAGCATGCATGTTACAGCAGATCTGGATTGGATATCTGGGTGTGGGCTATTGCTCCTGCTGTTCTTGTTCTTGTTCTGGTTCTTCTATCTTCTTAAAATATTCCTACTGGATAACATTATAACACAGCTTCTTGATTCTCGTAGGGACTTTTAGCCAGATTGGCCTTAACTGCCATTAGGTCCCACCTTCCCACATGCACTTTCCCCCTACCTAATCTCACCCCTCCCTCTCTAACTCACTACCTCATCCTCTCTTTTTCTTTTCTCTATTTATATCCCCTTAAATTTCATCCCCATGGCACTAGAGAAAAAGAAGCGAATAGAAAATCAAACAATTCCTTATTCTTACTATTACTGTTTTTGTTTCCAAACAATCAATAAACTCTTAGAACCTGTGTTTGAGGTTGACGAAATGGAAGTATCAGTTGAGCTAGACGATGACCTGTTTTTTGCAGACATAAGCAAGCAAATATCTTTGCTGATAATGGAAGACGATTGTGATGTAGAACCAGTCTTTGCTGCATGCCCTTCCTATTCTTTCCAGGTTTGCATTTTCCATAATAATATGCAGAGTAAACATTCATAAATATATTTATAGGAAAAATATGTTTAATGTTTTGTTAAAAATGCTCCAGTTTCAGACATTTCCAAGGGCACATTACCCAGTAAGACTACCATCCCCATCTGTGTATCTTCAAGAGCAAATCTGCAGAAGAGAAATTATTAGCAGCAGCAAAGGCACAGGAGTGTTCATCCCAAGGTCATCACAACCAACAAGAAAGCATTATAATAATAAACAAGGAAGGAACACTTCTTTCAGCACGAAGTCTAGTGGCCAACTGGGCAATACTACAAAAATGGTTTCTCAAGCATCACCTTATGCTCATTCTTTTCACACAAGAAAAGGCTGAAGGATACACACACATCTTATTAAGTGTGTATATGATTTGATTACTATTATGCTTGATCATAGTTATTATCTTCTTCTAATAATAATTGTTTCTGTTAGTGAGTATTAAAGAGGTTCATTACCAAAGGGTAGTGCCTCCTTAGATCTTGGAAATGTCTAGTGATTGTTGTACAAGTGTGATATAAAGGAAAAATAAGTACATCTTCTCTTAAATGTAAAGGCTATATATAGTATGCTTATAAGGTAGATGGCTAATCTTTGTTATTATCTGCCTAATGATGAATCATTAAAGGTCATACTCTTGAAATTCAAGGGGCCCTCATGTCACACGGAACCATTAAATGAGGAGCTCAGCTAAGGCCCCGTTTGGGTGGCTGCTTGTTGTCACCTTTTTGGGTTTATGTGTTACAACTGGTATGAGTTGTATAAAGAATCATTACTCGTATTTACCTTAATGTAGTTAATTTACAAATATTCAACAAAAAAGCTAAGAGGTGGGACAGTGGACATGGTCCAATTTCAGATTTTCGGTTCTAGTAATTGAAAAGAAAAATTACATTTGTACACAAAATAGTACATAGCCCTATTGTCTGTGTATACATGGAATTTATTTAAAAAATCGGTAATTGTCTGTCAATTGATTGTGATTCTGTGTACATAAGCATTGTATAATTTGTGTACTAACAATGACCCAATCAAAAATGCCCCATTTTCTTAAGGGGATCTGTCCCAGCTATGATTTATGGAATCATTGTCTGATTTTCCTAATTTATGTAAGTGCTAATTGAGAGGGAATGTTTGCCGCAAAATATAGTATATTCTTATGCAAAAGTTCTTAAGTGTGCTGCAATGATAACAATTGGTAAGTTATATTTTGATTTCACGCTCTAAATTATGTAATCATCAAAATAAGTATGATTGAAGTTACTTTTTAGCTGAATTAGCTGAAGTTACTATAAATGACCATATTAGGTAGTATTATTTTTCATATATTTTATGTTTGATTTTATTAATTAATTACGTAGTATCTTTTAAATATATATTTTTCCAACAAAATGAACCGATATGATTCAGTGTAACCAAACTGAATCTTAAATAATACTCCTTCCGTCCCATAATATTCTTTCTACTTACTATTTTGGGATGTTCCAAAAAATTCTCCTCATTTCTCTTTTTGAAAAGTTTTGTATGACAATTATATATTTTCATTTTATTCTCATTTTTGTAATAAAGGTGTAAGTAAAATTGAGAAGTTTTTTAGGATGGAGGGAATACTAATACGAAGTACCACTGTACCAGTAGTTGTCTTGTTGAAAATTGAATATACTCTGTAGTTTTCTAAAATACAGGCAACCATTTGAAACACTGTTTTATGTAATAAAAATACTTCGTATTTAATAGGGCGGCAAATCTAGTACTCCTTAATACTCACTTTGACAACTTGAACAGAGCTATCTATAGATTAAAGATTCAAAACATTCTGTGATAAATTATTGAACGAAAACAATGGATCCATCTGTATATGGGTTGCATCCCACACCATATCGGAAACATCCAGTTCAGACAAGACCCTTTTACCTAAAAAATGAAAAGATTGATGGGCCCAATGCATAACATAGACTAGGGTTTCAATCAAGGTTTACATGGATATAATTTTTGCTTGTACAGACACGTTACACTTGTTCATATATTCATGTATGTCAACAAAAAAAAAGATAATGAGAAAATTGCTCAAATACTAAGAGCCCCTTTGGTAGAACGAAAATCGGCTGTTTTGGCTGATTCTGCTGAAATTTATGAAATTCTGGCTGAAGTGGCTGTTTTGGCTGATTCTTCTGATTCAAGAAAAAAATATTTTAAAAATATATTTTATTAATAAATTATAGAAAAAATTACATGTAAACATAGCTAAAATAGTCCTCTACAGTAACTTCAGTCAATACAGCCAGAAAAGTAACTTCAACCTTACTTTTTCTGCTTATTACACAATTCAGCACACAAAAGTAAAAGTTACGTGTTTGGTGAAAAAAGCTGACTGATAAGCCAGATAAGCCGAAAAAAGAGGTCTCCAAACAGGCTCTAAAACAGAGTAAGATGTTTTTACTTGGACTGTAATTTGCTGTTCTGGTCTGGTCTGATCTGAGTTTTTTGTATTTTTATAACTATCCAAGCTAAGTCTGATCTGGTCTTGTCTGGTTTGGGACAAATTACAGTCCAAGTAAAAACATCCATATTCATCTTTCAAAAATGGAATATATATTATTAATTTATTTTTCTTTAAACAAGACTAAACATTATATTGTTACACCTAATAATATAATATAATAATAATTACATAGAACGAGTATAAGTAATTACCCTTTAGTATCCTTTCTTAACCAAGGTCTATCCATTGATAGCGTCATAATCTCGTGGTGCAGGCAAACTCTGCCAGCGGCATAGAACTTTAGCGGCAACGACGGTCAACGGTCTGCTAACCGCATTACTTTGAGCTCTATATAAATAATTACCCTCTAGTTTCCTTGTTTAACCAAGGTCAACCCATTGATAGCAGGATAAGATGGTGATGGCTGACGGCAAACTCCGACAGCGGCACAGAACTTTAGCAACAACGTCGGTCAATGGTTTGCTAGTCGCATTGCTCCGAACTATATGTGTGTGTGCGCGCGCGTGTACGTGTGCGCATGTGTGTTCAATCGTATATAATAATTTCTATTTAGAAAATTTTAAACATTACATCCTATTTTTAGAAAAATGCTACTATGAATGTTTGGTTCCTATTTGTGGAAACCTCTCAAGAAAAATATCTCCCAAAAATAATTGGTAAATCTTTGTGGAAATATATACTCTCTCTTCAAAAACTTGGGTGATGGGTATACAAATAATAAAGTAAAAAGTGTGGTTGAGGTATGTAAAAAGGTGTGGTTGAGGTATGTGTATAGTAAAGAGAAACTATAGGTACACCAATTAATCAATTAATGAGTGAAAATAATAAAAATATTAGGACAACTTCAAAAAATATTATCCTAATAGTTTAATGTTATAATTGATGAAACAGTTCTTAATTATCAAATAAATCAAATAAATATTTAATGTTCATCAAAGGTGAAGCTAAAGTATGGGCTGCAACTTCACTTAGGATATTTTCTTTTAATAATTCTATAATATGGAAGTCGGTTCAATATTAATATAGTATAATAAGAAAAATAATTCGTACTACCAAACAAACCGTCCATTTGTTAACCAATATCTTTATGTCATCAACCTTATTTTTTTTAATCAAATATTTAACTTTTGGGACTAAGGCTTGGATATTGTATCAAATATGTAACTTTTGATTTTGATTTTTTAAAATTGAATAATAATCAAAGTAAGTAATGAGTAACATTATTGGAGTCAATTTTCTGGATGAATGGTTGAATTTGATGAACATAATTATTTTAGCAAAATTTTATATAATTTTTTCTTTATTTTATTAAAATGTATATTTTCAACATAATTTTCATAAATCAGTAGATTCAATTTGTTTATGCATTCCAAACATGATTTCACTAATTTTAGCAAATATAACCGATTCTGACAATTTAAAGCTCATTTGATATATAGTACTGAAAATTAGTTGAATCGGCTGACGAATGTACTGAAATTGATGAAGTTTTAACTACAACGACTGAATTGGTTGAATCGGCTGACTTATGAAAACAATATATATTAATTTTTATATATACCTAGTATATATACTACATATTTAAAATATATCCAATCAATTTAATTAGCGCAAAAAGTATCTCCAATTTTATTTTAATAATAACTCAATTATATTTAACGTGCGAAATCAAAAGTTATATATTTAACAAAACATTGAGTGATGACAAACTCAGGTTATCAAACGAGCTCTCAAATATTATCAACGAGCTCTCAAATGTTATCAATAGATCGAATAAACTTACAACTTGATACATATACGGAGTACTTATTTAAGACTGAAACTTTTGCATAGGACATGCAATAACAACAAAATTACAGAGTATATAACGATCTAATTGGGCAGTAGAATAATTGGACATTATATTATGGGCGAACTTGAACTGAAATCAGAACATTAAAAACTATTCGAAGCATGTAGAAAGTACTTTTTTTTTAATTATTCTTGTTGGAAACATTCGGGCTCTTTGAACTGACAATCCCACGTCCTAGGTGCAGATCTCCTATGGAAAAGATCTTCACCTCTCGTCCAGAGTTGAAATTGCATAGCCCCGCCCTAGATTTGGAGATCATCTTGAGAAAGATCACAACTGACGATATAATTTAATTTTTGTATAACCACCATAGATTTTTTTGTAAAACGTCTTAATTAAAAAAATTAAAATATTTTTTAAAAATATTACTCGAATACTCTCAAAATAATATTACTCAATAAAATTCATTTTAATTTTTCCGGAAATAAAATTCATTTTAGTTTATAATTAATCTTATTGAAAAGCATCATAAAGAAGTAATCAACAGGTTCTTCCATCACACTCTTTGTCCAAAAGGACCAAAACCTCTGTAGATCATTGTAACGGGAGGTATTAGGAGTCCAAAAAGTTAAATTTGGAATTTTCAAACTCCTAATTATGTATAGTGAGAGATTAATAGAGTGGAGGGAGATTAAATGTAGATGGTGGGTTGACAAGAGTGGAAAATTGAAAAAAGAAAAAAAAAGGAAGGGAGGGGTACTTGTTGGTTTGCTGTTTGATGTGGGTGATGTCATGCTCACGTCATGCTCATATCATAATGTATCAAAATTCTTTGAACTTCTATAACTTTTTCGTTCTCCAATTTTTTTAAAAAACATATTCACATCCATAAATTTTTATGATATTTTATATGATGCCAACTTTACATATAAAAAGTGTAAACAAAATATGATGGATTAATTGTTGGAGTCTTCTTGAGCCCAAAAAAACATGCATCACAAATTTTGAACGAGTTTTTTCAAATATGTTATTAAAATTAAAACTTATTTACATAAATATGATTAATAGTTACTACAATGTAATGTCATGGTAACTTAAGTTTAAAATTTAATACTTCGTACAAGTTACTATGATATCATTACTACTCTAGTCATTAGTCACATTCTTGTAAACAATCTTTATTTTAGTTATACATATGTAATTATTTCAATTTTAAATCCATAAAGCCTTCAAATGACCAATATAACATGAACTCATTTTTTATTTTTTATTAAAAATGAGAAAAGTTAATTCTTTTTCGAGATACATATATAA